TAATTAATCATTCAGTTTAATTGTTTTTATTTTTATTATTTTAACAAATAGAGTGAAGTAAATTCGACATTATTAGCTTAATGGCATTGCATTAGAAGCAGTTTATTACGTGAACAATCGATAATGTATAAAATAAAAGAAACTTTTTAATAGTAGTATTGTATAGTAGCGGCATTCATGCACTTGTAAATGCTTAATGTGCTATCACGCTAAGCAGCCAGCACAAATTTTAAATGAATGGTACATGGTAGCCTGTATGTGCTAAAGTTTTATCAGTTATAGTAAGGTTATGCTTGTACTGTAAACAAAGTTTGTTGAGTACTTAATCGATCTAATAACGTATTGATTTATTTTTAAAATGCCAAGACGAAGTGAAAAAACTGAATTGCTCGATTATTTGGTTAAAAATGCTTTATTAGAAATAATGAATGAAGATTCAGATAATTCAGAATGATCAGTCATATAGAAATATACAGTGACTTGTTGAATACAATTGGCGACTTGAACTGAAACGCGCAGAAGATAACATGCTTTGACTAATATAAGCATAAATCTTATCAGAGGCTACGAGTCTGGCCAACTTAAGATCGATTACGCCAAACTTCTAGTGGACCGGAAAATCAGCAACAACGATGGCTACAAAGAGGCCAGTTTGAAAATTTTATTTAAGAGAACGTATAACAGTATTGGCTTATACTGTGGAGCTAAAGTTCAGTTTTCAGATTCTGGATATAAGTGGTATACGGTCATCTTTGTTATGCTGCCATAAGGATGCAGAACAATTATCTCAAGCGGAATGAACTATAAATAGAACAAACAAGAATTTTGATCGACGCCACTTTAACATTGCTTTGACATTTTCATGCCTACAAGTTGATAGGTTAGATTTAACAGGCATAGGCAGTTCTCTTCTAAATTACATGGATAGCATTATCACTTTAGTAGTTTACAAGCATTTGCAGGATTTACTACTTTTGTATGCTTCTATGTTTATTCCAGATTCTGCAGAGTGAAGGAAAAATCGTAACTCTCTTTAAATACTCAATGTAAACCAAGCATTACAATAGAGTATAAAAAGAATAACTTACAGCCTCTGCTCTCCAGAGTAGAGACGAATACAAATGGAAATATATATTAGGAACTTGCAATATATGAATATTTGAAAATTGTAATACATAACACACAAAGTATTTCTGTAAAAAATAAAAATAAAATCGTAGTGTATAATGATTATAAAAATTCTCAAACAATCCTAGTTAGAATATGAAACCTCTTTTCGAGTGATCATCCGAAGGAAATCCATTGTCAAATTATAGAATAGTAAGGAAAGTACAAACTATAAGTCGTAGAAGATATTGGCATTAGAGGAAGATCAAAGGTTTGGGAATCAAGAGGGAAAATTCAGTCTTGACTGTTTTTTGTTGAATGGCAATCTAATGAGAGCCGATCGTGCCTTCGAAGAGTCAGATTGAACTTAAATTGCCCGTCCCGCGTGCTTAAATTGCGTTAGTCCTTTCCTTTAGCGACAGTATAATCAAAGTTTAAAGGAAGCTGGAGGAGCAACTCATGCCGGTCCAGGTGCTACCACAGTCAGCCGATTAACTCCCTGTCCTAATTAATCGAAATTGCGCCGCGGAGGCTTTAATGTAATTTAAGTCATCCTTTCAGCCTCTTCTCTCATCTCCACGGATATTTATTCTCCTAAATGAGATTCTGAAAGCCGTCATAGGGACGGATCAGCCTTAATCGCACCATAATCACCGTTCCCGATAAGTCTCACCAATTTCGTTTTTTAACTAAAAAAAAAAAAAAAAGCAAGGGAAAAAAGAACGTTAAATATTCATATAAATTAAACGGAGATAAACTAAATTGGTATAAACACAATATAGATGTTTATCATTGCATGACTCACATATAAAACAGTCCAAAACTTGACATGATCATCATCGTATCATGTCAGAACATTTAGTATAGGATATGGCTACACACGTAGCAATCTGATTCGCCGTTTTATGCTTGTGTGTGGAGGAAAATGAACTTTGTCTTCAATCGAATTGAAAGCTTGTTCGTTATTCCAGCTGGGTGTCTGTATACAAAAAGTTGAGAGCACAGATTTTTCATTATTGATAATGATTTTTATTAACTAATTATTAATAATTAAAGTATTATTTTTAAGGTGTATTAATTAAAATAGAGTCCTAAGGGAAATGTTTGTCATAAATACTCCGAATTTATATTTGAAAGATTTTTTATTATTATTTATGGAACATTCAGGTTATTATGGATTATTTTATTCGTTATAGTCATGTATATGAGTGTTTTTTAATTAATTGAAAGGTTAGAGCGTTTGTCAAGTAAGTGCTGAAGTAGTCGGAAATGGATGTGTTGGTCAACTGTACAGACTGTGTATGACCTAAGATACTACATTGAGGAACCTCAGCAGACTGGGAAAAGAGAGATAAATAGGTATTGTTGTGATTTACTTTAAAGTATATATTAGCTAGGTAGGAACGAATAATGAGTAAGTATGTAGGTGGTAGGAATTTAAGGAGTTTGTACAGCAGTCCCGGATGCCAGACTCTATCAAACGCCTACTCAATGTCAAGAAAGACTACCGTGCAGTACATCCTGAGCTTTAATGCAGAGGAGACTACGTCTACCACACGATGGCATTGTTGGATAGTGGAACGGGAAGTGCATAATCCAAATTGGTGATCAGAGATCATATGATTAGAATCTAGGATGGGGTATAGGCGTTTATTTGAAATATTAAAATTAAAAAAAAAAAAAATACTGCTGTTAATTTGAACACACTTAAAATTAAATATTTAATTATAATAACAATGTTCAGCAAACAGCTCGCTGCCCATAAAACCTTATAACCTTATCTTGAAAGTATACTTTCAGAAGTTTTCTTGTTGATCCAAAAAAAAAAAAAAAAAACATATTATTAATAGTATTATAACCCCATATTATTAATCCACACAAAAAAACACCAAAACCATTTACTTGAGAATTTAATTAAATCAATTAATTCTCTTTTATGTTAAAAACAAAGCTTGTGACTTTTACGCTGCAACATTTATTTATTTTCCATGTTGCTAATCGTAACAACCATCCTTTTAACTAAACCACAGAAAAGCATATTGAAAGAACGAGGTCCGCCCAATCTGCTTGGCAATTCGTCGCCAATCGCCAGGTGGCTAGCCCCTTATGAAAGGGAGTAATGTTCTAATTTAGAACAAGCTCCTCAAACTAATGGCAGGAGAAAGACAGACAGGCAGTAATTAAAAGGGATGATATCGAGGATTCCAAGAGTTCCTCCAGAGGCACCGATCTAATTGCCGGCTTCGGTTCTTATTTATTCCTGTCGGTGGCTGCGGATCAAATAACAGGCATCTATCCAATTGTTTAAAAGAATGACGTCCTAATAGCTATAATGCAAATTCGGACTAAGATGCTGTTGCCATATTTTTTCCAACTAGCATGTAGGTAAAGATGTATAAAAAAATTGGAAATTTCATTTGATGCAACCATAGTTCGCATTGAAAGTAAGTTATACCTCTAATGTGGTTTCTTCATTTATCTCACTCCTCAACTAACTTTTGAAAAGATAAGTGTTATTTATTTGGAATGAAGATTTTTTTTTTTATCAAACTTCGATGTTAATTCAAGTATTTACATGTGCATGTAATAATAACCGACGTTTCAGCTGTCTTAGGATTCACTAGAAGTACCTAATTCTGCCCAGTACACACAGGTTCAAACAAAAATTACCAGCAAACAAGCTCGAAATATAAAAACCAAGGTTTTCATTCCTTCTCCTATTTTCTCACATGAGGACATTATTAATGCAATTTCTTTGATGTTGTTTTTTTTGGTCGGCGCTATAGACCATGAAGTTCATTTTCCTCGAGATGAGGTCTTCTCACAGACGTATGTTGCTTGGAGCACATACAGTCTTGAGGGGATCACCCAGCCTCATGTTGCTAAAAATCATGGCCTCCAGCGGCAGGTCACCAGTAGCTCCATAGCCGATCCCTTTGGGGCTATCTGGTATGCACATCCCACTGACTCTTTCAATTTCAAGGACAGTGACTTATCGGTATAGATCCACGGATTATGGCTGCTCAGTCACCAGGCGCACGAGGTTCTATATTTCTTTTCTAGAAATAGGCCGTCCATGGACAAAACCTCAAAGGGGAGGAGGGCTACTGACATCCTGGTAAACCACAACCTGATTCCCCTTTTAAGTACACGGGTAGGGCCGTCATTCCTACGCCTGGTCGGTATGATTAGCCTTCAGTAGGCTGACGGGTCTCACATCTCCAGGGGCAGCTCGATCACCATAGGGAATTTCGAGCAGCGTCGTGGTTTTTCCCGGTGAACTATCACCCATCCAAGTACTAATCGCACTCGACGTTGCTCAGCTCTGGTTACTACCTTTGATATACCTATTGCAAACACCTTAGTCCGTAAGGCTCCTCAGCCACCATTAGTGTAATAACTAAGTTTTAAATTGCTTGGCATGAAGGGGAAATGATATTAGTTTTTCACTAATGCATTCGAACTTCCAAATTTTAACTTTTATCTTTTCTACCAATGTCCAAAAACAGCGTTAGCTAGCCCCAAGGTGCCTCGGTACGTTTTACAAAATCATTTCTTTCTTTTTTCGGATTACATTTTCTTCTTTATTTAAAGGTATTAGTACGTTTAATGAATGTAAGATTTGGTACAATCACCGGGTAAACAGATTAGGAAGCCCAGAAGCATGAATTAAAATTTGAGTGGGTTACAAGGCCATTCTCTCTAATAATAACTCAAAAATATGATATATGATTTAGTCAAACGCTACATCATATAGAAACAAATATGATTTAAGTACACTGTATTAAATTTATCGAATGTTATGCTTGACTTCACTTAAACACAGTACACTTTGGTAACGTACTCAATCCGTTTCTAAACGTTTTCAACTGAACGGATTTGTTAGAATGACGATGGAGCTTCCCGGCCGGAGAACTCGGATTAATTCCAAGGACCGACACTGTTTAGCAGAAGGGAGAGATGAAGATAGAGATCCTGCTGGCAGCAGCGGTGATGTATGGAGGACTTCGGACTTATCGCAAGGACTTATGCCCCAGACAAAGCTCTCTGAGGCGTTAATACTCGACTGGATTATACCCCCTAGCTTCTTCACAATACACTATCCTACAAGCTTTGGATGAATATTGTATGAGAGATAAGAACTCCTCGCATCTCCAAAATGGGTTATATATACCCTCACTAACATACCCTCCATCCAATTAACAATGGCCTCTTATCCTTGGTGAAAAACGTGATCCTTTCATCGTTCGTCATTACTTCTCTAATATCGAAGAAACAAAATACAACATCAAATAATCTTTAAAATATTTTATTCAAAAAGTAGTTCAGTTAATTAAAAAGGTTTAACATGACATGTACGCTATTTATAAGTGACTTAAAGAGATAATGATGGTAATTGATCATCAAAGCAAGACGACACTTTTTAATAAGACATTCCAAATTCTCCCAAATATTATCTTTAAATTTATTTCACTTCTAATGTTCAAGTCCAACAACAACTGACGGTTATTCATTTTTTTTTTAAATTTTACCCTACATATTTAAAAGGCTTAGCGAACACAAACGTTCGATGCCGATATCACCAATTTCCGTCTAAATACTTTCATCCACCGACTGCTGTCAGAATGCAGCACAGACAACTTCAGAATCAGCCTTAAAAATTCCTCTGCTTTTGAATTCGTTAATAAGTTTGAATATTTTTCTTATATTAAAAATATAAGCCGGTGCATTCTTAATGTGTACGTCCACGCTTAACACCTGTAAAGGATAAAGAAGAGGAAGAATAATGGTTTTGTTAATTTAAAAAAAAAATTAAATATCAGAACAGAAGGCAAGAAAATATGCATAATTTGTTTAATGTTCTTCATTAACAAAATGTAAGAGAAAAAAAAAAAGATTTAAGACTAATGAAACTTAATTGAATAGGCTTAATAAAGTCATTACTAAAAGATAATTTGGTAATCAGCAACTCAAATGCTAATACGACAAACTACACGGATATCACCATAAAATTGAATCAATTAAAACGACTAATGATATGTAGGATAATAAAATTGTTTAATTTATTTTTATACACATTTATTTCTTAATTTATTTAGTTAACTAAGTATAGGAAAACGAACTAACCCACTTTCGTTCCAGTAAACTGGAATCGAAAGCAGTTATTATAAAGAAATATATGCATACATAATCCTATTTCTAAAATTAATATATTTACAAATTAATATGAATAGGAAATAATATTATAACCAATAATCTTATATTAATCAACATTACGTGACCCTTAACTATAGAATGCCCTATATCAACTGCATATTCCATGTTTCAATCAACACCCAATACCTACCAAGACATCAACATAATAAGAAGAATGGTTCATTGGATTAGTTCCTCCTTTCTTGACTAAGAGTGATGGCTTTTGCTTCGTGCTCAACACCCTACTCCTAATGAATTTACGATCATTATAACTTGAGAAAAGGAAGTAAAAAGGAGGTGCAGAAGGATGCCCACCCCCCACAGATTTCCTCAAACCAAACTTTTTCAACTACACACCGCTGCTCAATTTCCAAACTTCTATTTCCTTTTTGTTGATATTGTTCCATTCTTATATAGCTATAAACTTTCAAATAGAGACATTACCCCAAATGGCAATACTGCAGCGTATTCTACAGCGTAAACAGAATACTAGAATGCAGTTTGTATAACATCGCGAACTGAAGCAGTCAGTACATAACTCTTAATTTTTTTTTTTGGATCACATGCCCTTTCATTCAATACCTTCTTTATTTTTACTTTCACTTACGTATATATGTAATATATAGTAAGGGTAAGTATTGCGATCAAGAAAATTTTGGAATCTGAGTTTTCAACGGAAATACATGTTTTGAGGTACCCTGAGTCGAAATAACTAGTCCCGAAAAATGGTCTGTGTGTCTGTGTGTTTATATGTTAGCAGTCTAGCTCAAAAAAGAAAAGCCGTACGAAACTGATATTACGTATTTAAGATAGGTATATGCCTTAGATGTGGCAGCAACTTTTTCCTTAAAATCGGCTAACCGGAAGTTCCACTTTATATCAACGCTGAAACACATTTTTATAATTTTCTCAAAAACGGCTCTAACGATTTTGATTAAACTCGGGGTATCAATGTATAATGAAGTAATCTTTAATACCAATTAGGTTTTATCCTCATTGATGTCCCTTTATACGTCTTCCTCTAAAGTACCTTTAATATGGTTTATATTATAATGTTAATCACTTCAAATTATTCAGAGTTACGAAAAAATGCTAAATATAACTTTTGAAAGAATTTGATAACTTAATAAAGGAGAAAAAAATAAAAATGCAGAAAGACATGCGTTGCTATAGACAGCAGCGCCTAAACGAATGAACCGATTTCAATGAAACTTCACGTAAGTCATTTTCTCGACACCCTTAAATTTATCTTTATAATATACTTCAACGAAAAGAAGCTGGAAAAAAAGTTACGAGGGATAGTAAAACTAAATTCCGGTTAACCCAAGTATACACTTTTATGTGGATATTGTATATAGTTTTTTAAAAGATTACGGAATTTTCTTAACAAAAAAAAAAAAAATCGTTTAAATCGGATAATTAGGAGGAAAGATATGGTCTGTAGCTTTTTTTTTTTTAATATGTTCTGCTTCAAAGCTTTTATCCTTTGTTTTGGTTTTCGAACTTTGTTTTAGCATATTACTAATGAATAAAAAAAAGTTTAGTCCAATAATTGGAATCACCTTTAATTTTGTTTCATTTTTAACTTGGAAGGTAATGATACTTTAGATGTATAATTGTTATTAAAAAATAGTAAACTATTTATTGTTGACTGGTTAATATAAATTTTTTTTCATGTTATTATATGTTTTGTAGTGTAAATGTGTTAATTTGCAATAGTAAGTCATCTGAAAGGATATTTTATCTTCTTTTTTTTTCAGATGAAATTCAAAATATACCGCAAAAACATATTTTATCCCGGAAGAGGCAAAAATTTGAATAAATTTAAAATATACTTTTTTAATTGTTGAGACTAAAAAAAATAATTTATTTCTACAGATATTTAATAAAGTATCTTTCATAAGAAATAGGTACCTAAATTCATACCTTTTTCACCGTCCTATATTTCAACACTGCAATCACCACCTCCGGAATGAACTTCTTCACTGTCTGTATAGATAACTTTTTCAAATAAAAATATCACTAAAATGACATTATTAAAAAATGTTGAAATTGGAGTTGGAGTCATTCTGTGGTTTATAAAAGCAAAGAAAGTTGTGTGGTTTATAAAAGCAGATGGAGTGACTAAATTTTTATTGCCTACCGTCGATATATTAAATAGACATTATGTAATTATAATGGTCTTAATGACTTGTTATCTATAAGCTTTAAGTTTATCTCTGTTTAAAATACATTTAAAAACATTTTATAATAGCCCAGCATTGCCAGAAAGTAATTGCTATTCAAAGTAGAGCGGTATGTGTAAGTTGTGTGTTGCGCGCACCAGATTTTTTAAGCATAAGGCAACCTTTCAGTAAAATGGTGTAGAGTACACATCATCAGTTTATAGCAAAAAATCACTAATATTATAGAAAATTAAATTACTAGGTATTCAATCAAATCAAAAACTCAATGAAAACAGTGACCTAGTATAACTATTTTTGACATACAGGGTGTTTCATGGTTAAGTGGCCAAACTGCAAAAATGAACTAAGGACCTCAAAACAAGAAAACATTTCCTGTGAAGGTATGTCCGCAAACGCTTTGTTTAGGAGATATTCACAGCTAAAGATTTTCGTTGTTATGAATTATTTACGTTATATTAAATAAATAAAACCTATTAATTTGTTCTAAATACTTTATTAATTAAATTTAAACATTAACATTCATATTAAATGTGGTTCAAAGTGATTTCCTTGAGAATTAAGACAGGCTTTGCATCTTTCTTCAACAGCAGCAGTGGCAGAACGGCACTGGATATATGTTATTGTTTCACAAAATTCAATTATCCTCCTTCGTAAGAAATTAAGGTCATTGACCGGACTTGCATAGACTTTTTGTTTAATGCCACTCCAAACAAAAACATCCAATGATGTCAGGTCTGGAGAGTGTGCAGGCCAAGCCACTGGTCCTTCATGTCTAATCCATTGATTGGAGGTACTGGGTTGATAGCTGGTGGGGATGAAACCTCCCTTTTTATCTAATGCTACATCACATAATTTCCCTTCTTATCTCCTGTAAGCTGTGAGTTATTCCATTATTTATTTTTGTTCCTTTTGTGTGATTTTCTTATTATGTATGTTATTACATTCTGGGAATTGCCGTCTTCAGAACAAGAGGGTATCGAATATTTTCAAAACGGCCGGATAATTCCAAACTTGAAATTGTGCGAAGAAGGTGATCAAATGCAGACATACCTTCAGGGGAATTTTTTTTTCTTGTTTTGAGATCCTTTGTTCATTTTTGCAGTTTGGCCACTTAACCCTGAAATACTCTGTATACTGTTACTTAGGGTTTGATTTTTTAATCCACTAAAAGAAAATTTTACACAATTCAAATTCAAAATTTTTGACTTACAGTTTAGAGATCTATGAAAGGTGTATATAGTATTTAGTTTTTGCAAAAAAGGACAATAAGGTGTTTTTTCTCATAGTTTATTCTCATGTTGTTTTGGAACTGTTCTCTATCTTCCTTTCCCTTCTGATTATTTAATTTTATAAAAATCAAATACAAGCAAAGCTTTAACGAATATATCGGCGATCTATAGTGCCGTAGTCCATCACATGGAGCTAGTTCTACATCCCATTTTAATGGATGCATTAAGTACCATTTGAGCCTTAAACCAGACAAACTTATTTTAAGCATTGTTTCATTCATGTGATTGCTTCTGGAGTAATTCAACAAAAAATATATTCTTTAATGAACCCAAGAAAAAATAAATTCCCTTCTAATCACAAATCATTAAAAACAATATAGTTAGGCATAGGACATAGGATGGGGAAGCAATGGTCGATTTACCATCCTCTCAAGTGTTTTTAACACTAATGTTTGAGAAAAATAAGTTGGTTGATTTTTTTTAATAGTTATAATAAAAGGATTTTAATTT